ATCCGTGTTTGCTGAAGATCAAAAGGTGTTTGCACGCGTCCGCAAATGATGTGGCCCTGCTGGAGCCGCTGCTGCAAAGCGGTCTCCATGTCTCAGAAAACGTGAACAGTCAAACAGTCAGTGTGACGGGGCCGGTCAGGTTGGCAATCTTTATGGGAATTCATTTTTTTGTGTGAGTGTTGTTGTTTTCTTCTGCGTTTCTGCTTGTTGTTTCTTGCTTTCTGTGTTTTGCTTTCTGCTTTTCGCTTCTGGTTTTTGCCTTCTGCTTTTGCTGTCTGCTTGTAGCCTTCCTGTTGCTTCTTGTTTCTTGCTTGCTGCTTGTTGCTTTTTCTTTCTCAGCTTTTTTGGTTCTTACTTTTTGCTGTCGGCTTTTTGCTTTATGTTTCTTGCCGCCTGCGATCTCCTGAGTGCTCATTGCTCTCTATTTCAGCTTCCTGGTTCTGGTTGACTGCGCTCAGCTTCCCGATCGCTGCTACCTGCGATTGTTGTTTGATGCTTCTTGTTTCTTTCTTTCTGCTTAGTACTTGCCGTTTTCCATGATGCGTCACAATCATTCATCATTTTCAGCATTTTCATATGTTCCATCCTTTTTTCAGCAGTTGCTACATTTTTCTCATGTTCAATGACTTGTAGACTGTTCATCAGCTTCATAATTGTTCATTTGTTCTCCATTCGCTCTTCATGGTTTCATAATCTTCCGATAGTTTCAATCATCTTTGATCACCTTTTTCTTTGTTGTTTGCAGCCGGGGGGGCGGGGGCGCCCGGCGCCCCCCCATGCCTTTTTAAGGCCATCCGTGCTTGCTGTAACAAAAAAGCACCACGTCATCACCATGCTTGCAGTGAGCAATGCTTATACAAATCATGTCGTTTGCGCATGGGAGGGGCTGCCCCTTGCCCCCACTCCTTCTTTGAAAGCCATCCACGCCTGCCGCGTCAAAGAAGCGCCATGTCATCACTGTAAGGGATGGTTACACAAATCATTTTGTTTGCAAATGGTGGGAGCTGCGCCCCCCCCAACCCCCCCCCCTTTTTTCAATGCCGTCCATGCTTGACCACTGTTCGTCATTTTAGACCATTTTATCATGTTTCCATGATGTTCATCATTGTTCTTAATTTGATGTTTTTGATATGTTCACAGTGCTTCATCATATACATCATGTTGCATCATTGTCCATCATCTTTCAGCTGCTTCCGCGATTTGCCATGAGCTTCATCTTCTTCACTATTTTTCATCATTGTTCTTCATTGTTCATCATGTTTCTCAATGCTTCATGATTTTCACGTGTTTCATGATTGTGCATGATTGCTCATGATGTTTCACGTTTCTCATGATTTCTCATGATTTTCATGATTTTTCCATGTTTAATGATTTTTCACCTTTTTCACGAGCTTTCAGAATGTTTAACCATTGTTCATCATTTTTGAGTAAAAATCGAGCTCTCGCCTGAGACTTTCTAATAAAACAAGAGAAACCACAATCTTCTTTTAAATGCGTCCAATCTTTATTCCTGTCCTCGCTTTTGGACCCTGGGATGCTGTCCGTGCTCCAGATGCAAATAGCCACCAGGCAGACGGGTTGTCGTGATCCTTATGTTCCAATAGTGAACGTTGACAGTGACAGTCCTGTCGTGTCCTGGTATCTCATGTTGTGTCCACCTTCGGATCCGACAGGTTTCTGCTGCTGCTGCTGCTGCTGCTGCTGCTGCTGCTGCTGCTCCTGCTGCTCCTGCTGCGCCTCCTCGTCCTCCTGCTCTTATTCCATCTCCTAGGACTACTAATAGCAATCAGTAGCTGGTGTTACATACATCTGTAAAGCTCTCCTCCTCCTCCAGCTGCGCATTCAGGCCCCGGTGAGCCTGACAAACGTTGTCATGGCAAACGGCTTGGGGTGGTGGTCTGGACTTGGCAGGCGTAAAGCTTCGGGAGCGTAGGATGCAGGATTTGCGCGTAGAATTATGAGCGCGCAGTTTGGGACATCAGGTTGTAGTTGCCTTTCCTGGCAAGGGAGATTGTGAAGCTCTGCTGAACCCAACGCCTGCAGCCAGGGTCTGAAGTGACTCCACTCCTTCTCTAATTGATTGATACCCGCTCCAAAACTTAAGTTGCCGTTGCAGTGCTGAAAATATAGCTCATGTGCTGCTGGAAAGGTTGCAATTTCTATTACTGCGGCTGGTCTGATGCTTTTCCTCTCTTACTGCGAATGCGGCTGAGGGTATGCTGCTGCTACGACTGTCCCTAACAAGAAAACAAAGCCTGTTACAATGGCAACCACAACTGCTGCTACTTCTCCTGCTCCCACTTTTTCCAGCACTACTACTGTCCCTACTCGACACCAAGAATTCTGCCTCAAAGAGCCCCCGGAGCACAGCCAAGCGTCGCCTCAGAAAAGGTTGTGAGGGTTGCGATGCCAGATGGTCGAAGTAGCTCACTCTAAAATTTGGGCATGACTTGATCGCTGCTCATCTCAAACTCATGTTCTCAAAGGCCACTCATCCTGCGGCTGCTATACGTTCTGTCGATGAGGATTTGGACCATGGCTGCTATCAAGGTTTCTACTAGCAGGGAATCTTCAAGGTGCGGGAGCTTTGTCCCTGCGTACGATTGAGACACCGCAAGCCCCAAACAACATGGTGGATGAAGAAAGTTATGCAGTACGGAGGACCCCCAAAACGATATAATTCCCAAGGTGCATTCCACCATCAACGGCAACCTGAATAGTGCCAGTGAGTCACTGGCAGAACTTCCAAAGCATGGAATTGCTGAGGAGGTGAAGGAGGCGGTCGTAGTCACTGTGGAACTCCTGGGCTGCATCCATATCTCATGAGGTTGCTAGTGAAGACTTTCAAATGCGGTTGCCCACAACAATCAGCCAACTGATGAAGATTCGATGGCTGCCCTCTCCTGCTGTGGCACCTGCCACCTGCGGTCCGTCCCTATCAGCAGACCCAACGGCAATCACGGAGAGCAACCGGACCTATGATCTGGAACTCCGATATAATTGCGGCTGCGCTGCGTGCCACGCGATGACCGAAACCGATGCGGTGTGGTTGGTTTCGCTCTTGCTGCTTGTGACCTGGCTTGGACAGCGTGCCTGGTTCTTTCTCAGCTTGAAGCTTTGCTTTGTTGGTGGCTCTGGATTCTCAATGTGTTGGTAGAGAAAGCGCTGCTCTTTCCAGGCTCAACAAGCTTCAGAGCTCCAAGGCCTAAACTAAAACCGCCCTCAATCTAGCACCTGCTATGAAGCTCCTTCCGCGGCCTCTGCAGCAAAGCTGGCATACTTGCGGCGCAAGCTGCGGATCTGCAGAGCATTAGCTTTACGCTAGGCCGCTAGGCAGGCTCTGGAATGGTAAAAAATATATAAAAAATGGAGATCATGGCAAAGGCAACCACTGGTGACAGCAAGAGTCGAAACAGCTGTATCAACATCCACATTCTGTCGCTCACAATTGCCGCGCGGCCGGCAGAAGAAACCTGTGCTGAATTCTTGCTGCGATTCTCCTTCGACGCAAGCCGACAATGAGAGTTCGGACCATCATTACTGCCATCAGGAAACACTGATTTGGTCCACTTGCCACAGTTGCAGCGACTGATATCATTACCTTGCTCGCCTTATCGCCATTACAAGTGCTGACGGCTTCTGTGTTGGGGCATCGCCTCCAACAGCATCTGCCCCACAATGAGCTCCTTGCCGGTTGGGCTTAGGCATGATCATGGATTATCGAAAAAACTTGTTCTGCTGGACGTGCTTGTTCCATCGATGCACTCCCTCTGCAATATTCACCTGCATATGTATGCATACATACATGTAACCCACAGCCACATGAGTCCGAAGTTTTAGAGAATCAGAACTTCATGGTATCTGTGAACCTGCCTCAGAGGTTGGATGCGAGGAAGAGGTACCTGGATCAAAGTTACACTGATGATAAACATCAAGATTGCTGACTATATTATTTGGGATTCCAATCATCCAGCAAACAAAACATGCTTCTAACAATGACCCAGGTGCTCACGCTGAGGGTGTCGAAGGTGTCAGAAGTAGACCCGAAGCTGCGCGTGCCGCCTGGAAGTGATTTGGATCTCTATCACGTTGCAAGACTGACCCCAAACAGTTGTTGACATGTTGAAGCTTGGGGTAGGAGTATTGGACCTCCCTCCCTTGCCCCGTCTTCCCCCCCACACCATCAAGTCCTAGCCTGCCCTTCAAGCCGGACAGCGTTTACGACTAGATATAATTGAAGATGCGTTTGGCGAGTTTCGTGTTGAGGCAGAATGTTCGGTGTCGCCGGGGGGCTGAGGGGCTCATGTTCAGAAAGTCCCAATTTAGCGTGCTTTGGAACAATTTAGGGTCAGAATACGACTACGAGAAACCATAACCTACAGAATTCTGCAATGGTTTCGGGTGCCCGCTTTCAGGACTACTGTTTTGCAAGAGACGTGCTGATTATAACCTTTTTTTGGCCTCTTGTTCTTATGGGATCTATCACTTTCGTGGTGTTCTGCACATGCATTTTGTTCTGCCCTCTCTGAGCTCCTTCACGTGGAGTCACAAACTTTCAAAGACACCCAAGGAGGACTCATAATGTCAACAATAAATACCCCATTCAGATCTCAGTTGGAGGAAATACTCTGCCAAATATGAAGCCAAATCACTAAACAGGAGTACATGATACAGTCATTTCCATCCAAAGTTGTCCAGGGAGTGCACCTTTTACAAGGGTTCGAAGGAGAATCTCTCACAGGCCCAAGCTGCCCAGGCTGTGCTTTGAGCTTTCCGGCCTGAATGCAAAATTGTAAATGGACCAATTAGCCGCTCATCTCCTGTTCAGACCGGCCCAAGCCATAAAGTGCCTCTGTGTAGGAATCCTAGAACTCTTCTGTTCTTCTGAAAGCTTGTAATTTATGGCTACAGGATTTGCTGCCACCACAGGGTCCAAATCCTTGAAACTACGCCCGCAGAAAAACAGTGAAAACCTGTTCTTCATAAATACTGTCTCCACATCACTGCTTGCCTCGTGTGCGTGGGACTGCCCCTTCGAGCTCGTAGCGCCGATTGATGAAGCTTGCGAGGAATGGCCCCACCTTGTTTCATGCGTCTTTTCTTGAAGCTTTTTCCCTCCCTGTTCTGGGAGAGTTCAATGGGTGCTTGGTTGTTCGAGGAACCAAGGGGTCTGAATCCGCGTTTCCCGCCTGCATACAGAAAACTGCGCGAAAGTACGGATTGACACTGCCCCTATCCTCCATTCATGGCACACGCATCCTTATCTCAAAGTAAGATCCTGGCGAATGCACATTCAACCAAACCCTAAACCCTAAACCCCTAAACCCTAAACCCATTCAAGCAATGTGAATGAAACAACTCCGGGGCCTCCTCGGGGCGGTGGTAGCCAAGCTCATACCTCAAGTCCATGGCATTTGCAGATCCAGCCACCTAGTCTTCGTACTCTTGCTATCTTGCTAGCAAAGGATGAAGGAATGGATCCTTATAGTAGCCCCTGTACACAATAGTTTCCATCTTGCCCTATCTATCGCTACATCTTTACCTATCTATATATATATATATATAGCTAAACAACCCCTCAAATACTATATTGCCCTTTTGGCATATGTGTCCATCTCATTTTCCATGTTCTTCGTCATTTGTTGTTCCATTATAGCAGTTTCAGCTACTTCCACTCTCCAAACCCCAACCCCAAAGTAAAGTCTCCATGTTCTTTTCCATTCCGTTTCCTGCCCTGCTAACGAGAATTCAAAAGCCAGCCAAAGCACAGCATGTCACTGACGACGCTCTGGACGTCGTGCTGGGCAAAGTAGACCTACGGTGGAAGGAAGAAATCCACTGCTTAGGATCCCCCAACTGTTGCAATCACCACTATTGGGGCCATAGGGTGGTGCAAGATTTTCCATGACCCTAAAGACCTTCTGCCTTGGGAATTCTGGTGCCAAACTATTCTAGATCAATCATAGGATAACGCCAAAGTTGGCAAACAACAAAACAAGATCCTGCATACAGCCCCCAGGGCTGGCAAGAGTGTTGTGAAATGCATCCAGCCAGACACAACCAAGCCCAGTTTCCTTCAGTCCAGATGGCTGCTAATGTTGCCAGGCTCAAACCAGTCATTTTGCATAGCAAATTGCATGGGGATACCTAAATCTACTATCAAGACTTTTGTTCCTGTCGCGGCACATCGACATCCTCATCGTCGAGGCGACGCGCGTTAGCCATGGTCGAGGCATCGGCGAAGGATTGCGTCAACGACGATGGCAGGAAAGGGGAGAGGCATCCCTTTGAGGGGCTAATGGGATTTCTGTCAGGCTGTTTGGGGTAGACCCTCGATTTGGAGTCTCCAGCTCAGCATTCGGCATTTACGCAGTAATGGTAGTAGCAGTGGCAGGTAAGATGCCAGTAGAGGCAGCAGCTTCTGTTGTGGCTGTGCTTATAATTGCTACTGCTGCCATTCTGTGGTCGAGACGATTCAATTCGGCAACACTACTGTTCCTGGCTTTGGCTAATCTTTGAAGTGCTGGAGTAGCATGCTTGCAGTGTAACTGTACAAGACTGAGAGTGAGTGTTTGCTGTTCGGGTCCTCACTCCTTGGGTCACAGAATGTTTGCCATTGGGCTGTCTTAACGTAGCAGCCTCTTGTTGTCCAATGTTGGCGAGAGACTTTAGATCATGGAATCATAGTCAATGTTAAAAGAAATATGATTGCCTTGTAGCTCTGTGGGATTTCAAATCCTGGCTACCTGGCCTTTACAAAGCCTACGCTACAAGCAGATCATGACATAGAAAATGGAAAGCTGCAGCCGCGGCATCCGTTGCTACCACAGCAGTAGACTTACAGACAACATCTTTTTGCAGAGCGCAGCGGACAAATCGTCTTGAGGGATTCCTAGCGGGATGTTTGGGCAGCTACTGGTCACGAGGTTTAGCAGAATGGCCCTTCAGGGCTCCTCCTCTCATGAAGTTGGCGTCTGCCAAAAGTGGGCCCACTGCTGCCCATGATAATACAGTAGTAGTGTCATCAAAGTGCACTACAAGCAACAATGCCAACAGGGTTGGAAATCATCAGCGGGCAACATCACGAATGTCTCAAATGTCATCAACCCGTCTAAGCGGAAACCCTCATTTGAAAAAGTCTGCTATGCGGCTGCAGCTTACTGCCCTGCCGTTATGACCTCCAGTTTAGGAGGTGTTGCAAGTCACATGCACATGTTTGAAAAATCGTGAATTGCGTATTCTGTTGGGAAAGATCAGGGCTCTTCTGTGGAGCCTTCTTTAGAGAGCTGGGCACATGAGCACAGTCGGCTCAGCCGCTTGGAAAGCCTGGGCCTGCCAAGGCAGGCCAATGCTGCCGCGCTGCAACCCACAGCATGGGCCAGTGCTGCCTCTAAGCTCTTGCGGTATGCCACCCCTCCGACGAAACTCCCACCAATGTAGCAGGCACAGAAGGACAGGAAGATCAGCATGGTCTGCCTCAGAACGGGATCCTAAAAAGTCTGAAAGCATCACAGAACCCGAACGAAAAAATTTAGTTAGTCGGTGAGTGTGGAGACTCGGAAGGCAAGCCACAGGTATGACCTTTTTCCCGTCCCCCGAGCCACGGCAAACCGATCGCAGAGGTAGTAGAGAAATTTGATGCTGACCAGAAACCAACAAAAACAAGTGCCGTAGACGTGGCCGATGACTGAGGAAAGCACCTCGAATCTACCAAGAAGACACGGTCTTTCAAGCAACAGTGGAGGCCTCCTCTCACACTTGGTTTCTGCCAAGGAGCTGCGGTGCCGGGCGCGCCTCCAAGCCATAAAGAAATCGTTTCATCGATGGTTACGGTGACAGGTGCCGTTGCAAGGAGGAGGCAGTAGGCAAAAGGCAAGTTCCCTGTTGCTGAGAAGTGCCCCGAAACCTCCTGCAAAAGCGGACCTTTCACGAAGCTCTCAAATTCCTCCGGACTGCCATACCAGCTTTGGATTGCCGAGTGCACAAAGAGTGAGTCGAAGACTTCAGTGCACTGCGCGGAGCCCAGGTCAAACTTCCTGAGCTCTTCGAAGAGCTGGCGCTTGGCACTGAAGAGGTTCCTGAGCCTGTGGACAAGGCCAGCCAGGGGTAGCACCGAGATAGCTAGTGGTATTACCTCGCTCCTAAAGACGCCATCTTCAGGAAGACCAGCAGCCATGGCCACGAAATAGCACCAGGCTGAACACCATAGAACAGCTGTGCACACCAGTACCGAGTGTTCTATGAAAATCGGAGCAAGGGTGATCTTCCCCGTGGGATTGGCCACCCGATAGGCAGCCAGTTCAAAGACGCCTGAAGCACTCGGCAATGCACAATCACTGGAACCTTAACCTGGTGTCACGCAAACTGCCGAACACTCATGGTAACCCCCTGAACAAACACCTTTCATCAAAAGAGCTCCGAAGATGTTGCGTGGCACCTACTAGACTTTTGGATCCGTACTACCATCTTTGCATGCCAAGGCACACCAAAGGCGTGAGAGGTAAGGCGGGGTCCACAGTACTCGCAGCTCTTTGGCATGTTTCAAGAAGCCACCAATGCTGTAGATCCCTCGCTCCTTCAGGCCCGGGTCCTTCTGGTGGATGCAGGCCACATCCTTGCAGGGCGGGAAATCTGCAACCGAAGGCCTCTTGCCTCATACCTGAATCCTCATATAAAAATGCTAAACATCTCTGCAGGAATCAGGAGTGTCCGCCAAGCCCGAAAGCTTAGGTCGTCTTGATGTTGAGACCCTAGCCATTCTTCTCTTGCTCACCTGCTTCCCCCCTCCCAGGGCGACCCTGAATCTTTTCGGTACTTGCCTGCAGGGTTGGGCTTTCAACAAACGGTAACCCCCCTCAGCCCTTCATCCCACTCATCCCCGCACCCACCCCTTCCTCTTGCGGGGTGCCTGGCCTGGCCCCTAACTCCTCCAAGTCTTGCCGTCGCCTGGGCATGTCGCTGAGGCGTCAAACAAGCTGATAAGCCAAGACTATCCCTGTTTTCGAGGTCTCCAAGAAGCAGTCATCACGCGCTGGGAGGGGAGCATACGGCACGGCAATGAAGGCTAGAGCCAAGGCCAGCATCCCTGCCAGCATTGCGCATGGCCCCAAAGGACAGTCAGCTACAAAGCCCATCACATGTACCTCATGTGAAAAAGGCATGGGCAGCAACCAGGACCATTGGATTACCACTGCAGCTGCCACAGAAAGAAACCACAAGCAAAGCGCGAATGGCCAACCAGTGCTGAGCAGAAGTGCCAGTAATTTCTCTGTTCCTGAGGTCTTCCACGTGTGCGAAATGAAAACATCATATGCACAGACTGAACGTGTTGTCTGCCAAAGCCGCCACCACGTTCGGTCTGTCATTCCTTCTGGACGCAATCGCCAGATCCAGCCAAGGCCCCGCAGTGTCGAGCGCAAGGACACGCCACGAAGTAGGGCAGCATCAATCTGAAAAGGGTTTCCGCTGCTGGATACCATCTGGTGCATCTTGTACTCCAGTGCAGAAGAGCCTGGACGCAAAAACGCGCTTGGGGACATTGTCCCTGCAAGGCCTAAGCTGTCATCAGCTTCCCCGCTCTCATTGCCAAGTGCCCGCGTGCCCTCCTCGGCGTCTCTATCCAGCGTAGCAGTTGGCGATGCTGTCGATGCTGTCCACTGAACGTCGTGTGTGGATGGAGTCGCGCACACACATTCCACAAGCCAGGGGTCGCAAGGTGGGCGCATGCTGCTCATGCATGTATTGGCAGGCAGGCTATTAACCATACCGCCTCTAAACGCACCTTGAGTGTAGAGGCCAGAGTTGGCATGTTGGCAGGTTTTCAAACACTGCGGCCGGGATTCTCGACCAGTGATTGTCGCAATTTTGGTGCCGTGTGTGTATATGATAGAGAGATGTAATCATGTCACGACTGTCTGCCAATCATGGAGGCAACAAGCGCACATGTCGCCAGTACGAAGGATTGATTTTGTTGCACGGCGCAGGTGGCCACAGCAGAAGATCCTCGGGTGCTGCTGCGAAGGCTTCTGGTCTGGCTTGAACACCTGTGAAAACACAAGAGCTCTCTAGGAAAACACACACCTGACCTGCTTCCTGCGCTGATGTTGCGGAGGAAACTATCTGACCAGGGACTCAATGTTTTCAAGTTTACGCACAGAGGCCGACCAAATGCCAGAGCGCAGTCGGCATACGGCCTTCTGAAAATAATCACGGGCATCATTGATACATTCACCAGCTCCCAGGCATCTCAACCTTTAGTTGCTGCTGAAGGTTTGGTTTTGCTACCAGACAGACACAGACCTTGCGCATGGAAGAACATCCTGCTGCTCCCATGTTGGAGCATTCTGCATCTAAATACCGGGAAAACTGGATAGAAAAGTCGATTACAATTCGATGCAGCCAGACATACCTGGACTAATAATTGAATTCGGGAACAAGAACTAACTACCCATACCCAAAACAAAAGCAGCTGTCATCAATATGGGGTACTTCTCGCAAGTCTGTTGTCATGTCCCTGTGCTAAAGGATGCGTCGATGGATGTCCGTGGGAAGGTGAGGTATGGCAGGTTGCCAGTGGCTTCAGTCTAGCCAAAGCACCACCTAGCAGGGCACACGTCATACACATCCGACAGTACAATAGGCCTGTGAGAGCAATGCCAGCAAGAACCCAGCTCAGGCAGCACTGTAATCATGCTCAATTCGTTGAGCAGTGAGAACCGGAAGGGGCAAGCAGATCTGGTAGATCTTTTTGAACGTCCTCTGTTTTTGTAAAGGCGATTTATGCAACCACCAAAACATCCTGCGTTGGTGCCTCCAATCAGGGAATGCCCCTACCGCTTGCACTGATCGCTCGACCTAGCTACGTCGACAGGAGGCACGGCCACCCTTGTCGAAACATTCGAAACTTCGAATTCCTCCTACTTAAGCAGCCAGCAAGCTGTCTGGATGTCTTGCACTCAGTCTTGGCGCCTTAGAAACCAATACTGGCTCCAAATGGGTCCAAACAGCAGGCCATAGGCTGACCTACAACACACCCCAATGGAGGTTTTGTTTCCAATGGAGTCTGAGTTGCTACTGCGTGAAACGTGGGGCCGGTTGGCTCAACAAGCTTAGATTGCTCCATCGGAAAGGATAGGAACATTCTATCTGCAAAAGATGGAAAACATAAATGGAGATGCTACACGTCACTTTTTGCCTGGCAAGTTGCGGGAAAAGCCGACCCCAACATGCTCGCCGTCTTGGCAAGGCTAATGTTTTTCATTTGCACAATGCAGCTGCAAACAGCTGAGTTTAGTCGGCGTTTAGGGACTGAAGCAGAACATCTTAGGCGAAGGCAGCTGCTCATGCTGCAATGCAACCGCAGGCCCAGCATGGGCTTGAAGATGACTAATGACAAATCCCAGCGCCATCGACATCGTCTCACTTGACGATTTGGGGCAGAAGTGGGCCAGGCATTCCTTTCACCGCCACCTGAACACATCAATTTCCCAGCCTGAAGAAAAAGGTTGGAAGACTTCAAAGCGCACTCTCTGGAAAGACCGCACTATCCCGAGGCCTTACTAATTAGCCTTCTTTTGGCGCTTCTCACTTCCTGCTGAACACACTGTAAGTGCACCTTGCTATCCGGCAGCTACGAATTGCAGCTTGTGCGTTGCCTGAAGCAGCCCAGCACATCCCCACACACACCCCCAATTTAGTGTCCCAAGTGCACCCTGAAATCCAGCCAGAATTGCCTTGCCGATCCTGCCCAGGGAGGAGCCTCGGCTCAGCTGCAGTCCAGCGCAGGTTTCACCAGGCTCGTGGACGCTTCAGGGGAGGTCTCACAAATGGTTTTCAGGACTCCCAGGACGAGCGTGCAGAGTCCAGATTTCACACAAATATTTGCCCATGGATGCAGAGTGCGGGCATCAGCAAACTCTCGAGGCCAACGGAAAAGAGCTGTGCTGACATTAGCTCGAATTTGACTTTCCGACAGTTTCTCCTGGGCTAGAGTAAGTCCCGAAATTTTGAGACTGCCCCTATACACTCCCCAAAATGTGCGTGCAAATTCCTCAAAACATCCCGACGTACTCGAAAAAAAACAGTTTTGCCCAGCCACTCTTCAGCAAGCCAGCTGAGACCGCGAGGTCCGTTGCAGCTGCCACGCCCACGGATGCCATGGACTTAGACCTTGGGAGAAGGACCCCTCAAGGCAATGGGGCCCTTTTTGATTTTGTTTTCAAAAACAAGCATTCGTGACAATAGGGCAAAACTGGTTCCGGGAAGCTTCTACGGCAGCAGCATATGGCATACCATTGAGCGGTTTGGTGTCTGAGCTGATGATGAAATTGACTTTCGCAACGTGGCCAGGCAAACCTTTCGAGATCTGCTTCGCGTTTGCTGGCTTATCAGCCCTTATGAAAGCAAAAAGAGGTGACTGAGCACTGCACGAAGTCAGCCCAAGGCCTCAAACGGCATGCTTCACAAGCGCTTTGTTTAACAACAATTCGCCTCCCCACTCCCTAATAGTCAACAAACACGCCCATATTCTGTCGGCAGTATCACTCAGCCAGTGCCGTCGTCAGTCGTCCAGTTTAACAAGACCGGATAGTGCCGTCCAACATGAACTATTGCTGATTCTACACAAATTTTGCGTTCAGAGTCATGACCACTGTGTAGAACGGTATACGGATACCTTTCTGAACTTGTATGAAAATTTATATATATATATAGCACACAAATAAGTTTGCGTGTATCGCTTTGTATCTTTCCCGCTTGTAGCGCCTTGTCTTTGATGAAGGCCATGGCCTCTGCCACCCAGCTGAACCTGGAGGGCTGCTGCCAAAATCTGGGTCCGTTGGGGGCTTTGGGTTCAGGAGTCTGAGCTTGCGGCTTTAGGATTTTCAACCAAAGTTATGGGGCGGCTGTTTTTAAACCACTCCCCTTGTACCTTTGTTGTTACAAGCCTGAGCTGTGTGATTCCTTGTCCCCAAGGCAGGGCTGAGAGCAGTCCCTGCCCCTCTCCGTTGCGCATGACGAGATCACTATGCCTCATATTACCTCCATTTTTGTGTCCCCACCGTCAGGGGGGGTTGTGGTTTAAAAAACTCGGCCCTGAGATGCTTAGATGCAAACTGACAGGAATATACAGTTTTATTAACTGTACCATGTCTGTCCATTGTTTGTTTGCACTGCCTGGAAGGAAGTATACCCTTGTGAAACTCCATGATGATCACAAGATATCACAGAATCACGGTGTAGCCTTGGCCCCCTCTTGGGTAGGCTCCATGTTGCGAGTGATGTACTCAGGCTCCACGTCCCAGCATCACACTTAATCTCAAATCCTAGTTGAACAGAATTTCCAGATTTGGGGGACGCTTTTTGATACCCTCCACATACTATAATCCCTATGCTGAAGACTTCCAAAAAGGACCCCTTATCTCAACAACAACTTGAGAAACAGTAGAAGATTCTCCCGCCCTTGGCCCTCGCGCCAGGCGGTCCATGAGGCTGAAGTGGTTATTGGCCTCGGCGTGTGCCAAAGCCTCAGAAGCGAGAGGGCAATCTCGGGCTCTGGGAAGGCAATCTGTCAAAAGATTCGAAGATTCTCGCTACGAAGGAACGGAGAGCAACCAAAATTTTAGCTTCTTCAAGAAGAATATTATCAGCAAGAGCTTTACGTACATCAGCCTCCCGGACCAGAGGCAGAAGAGCAAGTGACGCAGCCAAACACTAGCCCAGGTGGACTCGAATTATCAGCTTTTGTGCCATAACGCTCTGAAAGCTTGGCTCTGATCACGACTCACTGGTATACGATCTGCGCTGAGACCAGGGACGGTGTATTCACGGTTGTCCTGGCAGCCAGTACCAGACATGACGATGTCCACCGAAGCTTCACCATGCCGCAAACAGGCTTACAAGCTCGTCCAATCCAGCCCGGGTGCAGCTCTTACGTAAATTGATACGCCCAGACACCAAAAGGCGGCCTTGGCATTCATGTCCGCGCCCATTTCCAACAACAGCATGCAGCCCTGCGAGGCTGCACGACAATGGGACTAAGCCCTCAGCACAACAGAAGCACAAAGAAATGTCATTTTTCGCGGCCAGTGGTTTTTCTCTCATGCTTGACTCAGCAGGTGTGCCCAAACGCACCTGGTAGTTACCCCCTGCGGCGGCCAAATGAATTGGCGTGCGCTTCTTGTTGTCAGCGATGTTGACCTAATGGACGGCGAACAGCAAGCACATACATTTAACGAGACAAAACGACAATGCCACAGGTGATTGAAATTCAAGCAACACTCGGTGGCAAACGTCCGCGCCCCACTCAATGAGGCGGCAGATTGCGTCCACCTTAGTGAGCCCCTCCAGCTTTGCTTGCTCAGCAATCTGCTACAACCTGTGAATGGCTCCCTGATCGCCGATGCCGCCTTCGAGTCTGAAAGAAATGAATGGATTGGAGCTTCTGCTGAAATCAAACGTGCACCCTGCACAGACTTGGACTACGGTTCATGGCCAGGCCCGCCCAAAACAAGCAGCAGTCGAACCCAGCTCCCAGCATCGTTGTTCTGGGCAGCCACATGCAGCGCCGTCCTGTGACTGATTATCCCTGTTGGCAAGTCCGGACCCAAAAGCAGTACATTTGCAAACGATATCAGGAGATGCTTGTGCGTTGCAGGGCATCTGATCATCTGGCTGAGCACCGTAAGTTCCAGATGTTCCAGTTTGCACATGTAGGATGCAGTCGCCTTCCCTCAACGTCTGCCGAGTTGATCTTGACCCCATACACGTGCAAAAACCTCTGGAGCAAATTTGATGCACTGGCCACGGGATCTAAACTTTACACATTACAGAGCTTGAACAATCTCTGATAACCGAGTCTGGCTCTCCATCATGTCGTAGCGCTTCGATCTTGTGACGATATTGAAGGCCTCACCATCACTGGTACAATCCTTCCTTGCCTAAGACTGCACCTGTCGCAATCTTGGGGTTCGGGCCGTGTCACCACGCCGTGTCTTGGCCATAAGCTTTGCACCGCGCCGGTAGCAAAGCTTGGCCAGGCCTAGCTTTCACATGTCGCCATTGTGCAGAATGCTTGCACCTTCTGAGCACCCCGCCCATGTTGCCTGTAGTGCAAGCAAACCTCGGGAAAGAGCGTGCTACGCCTCTGCGGTTTTTCTTGAATTCCAAATTCTGCTAATCGGGCTGTTCCCGGAATCTGTATTTCTCAGCCAGTGCTGCTTCTATCCTCATGAAGTCCTGGTAGGAAAGGTTTCTTGAAACATTACATCAGCTTAGGAATAAGATAGCAGCAAGAAGAATCTTTGCACCGCGCTCCAACAGCGTCATGTTCGACTCCACCTGAGATTGGTTGTCTTAAGAAGAGGGGGACCGGCTTGTCAACTAGCAGTGCTCCGACTGATGCGCATAGAACGCGTTGTTGGGATACATAGCATTTGGCGCTTGCCCAGCCGAATGGCATCAACAGCATCGATGTCCGTGTTCTCCAGAAGCCGCTCCAGCATGTTCATGAGGACCGTGCCCGTCCTTTCCAAGATGACGCGGAACCACGCATAAGGGGCATCAAGACAAGAGCGGAATGTGAGGCGGTGAGCTACAGCCAACCTGCTGACGATCTGCTTGAGGTTGAAAGACTTCGATTTCTCCTGGCAGGATGCAAGTTGGCTGTGGTGAGAAAAGTATCAAAAACCGCAGCCAGCCAGCAATTGCAGGTTGACATGGCTTCCTTCACGGGCTCGAAGGCGCTCTTCAAATCAGCAAAGGGGTCTGACACCTGCAAGCAACTGCTTACCCCAACACTCACATCCTGCCAGGATTACACAAGACCAGGAGACTGCTCAGTGCGAAGCTGAGCAAATCATGGTTTCAAAGCACATGCTACCTATCACCTGCGACGCCTTTGGATCCTCAGCTGGCGGTGGCTCGGGGGCTTTCAGCCGTTTGGAAGGCTGCCGCCTCATGATGTGAAAATCACATCTTTGCTCGGGACCCTCACAACGCTCTCTCATCAATGCAGCTAACTAGCGCGACCGGAGACCCTCCCGCTCGCAATTGACAGGACTAGTATGCAAATCCTTGTAGGACGTCATTTCATCACTGCAGCAAATGAATGCAAATGGAGGGAATCCGGCTCACTCGCAACATCCTTGTTCGGGACTCTTCTAACGGTACTTCATCCTTGCAGCAAGCGAACGCGAACGGAGATCCTCCCGCTCTCCCTTGACTTGCAGTTCCAAAAACTAGTGCGCAAATCCTTGCTCGGGACCTTCACAACGCTCTCTCATCAGTGCAAACTTGAAGTTAATAGGACTAGTACGCAAGTCTTTGGTCGGCCGCAAGTTGAAATTAATAACATTATGATGCACTCACAACGCTCTGTCATCAATGCGACGAACAAACGCGAACGGAGACCCTCCCGCTCTCCGCTGACTTGAAGTCACCAGGACAAATACACTATACACAAAATCTTTGTTCGAGAGAACGCTCTCTCACCCATAACTTAAAATTGTAAGGACACGCATCCGAATCCTGCTCGGGACCCTCAGAGCGCTCTCTCGTCAATGCCGCGAACAAACGCGAGCGAAACCCTCCCGCTCACCGGTCACTTCAAGTTGGGGAACAGGACTAGTACACAAAAGCTTGCCGGGGACCCTCACGACGCGTTTTCATCAATGTAGCAAACAAACGCAAGCGACGAACCCCCCACTCACCCAAAACATGGGGACTAATGCGGAAAGCCTTGCTCGGGAGCTCTGTCATCAATGCAGCGAACAAACGCAAGCGGGAACCCTCCCGCTCAGTTGTACCTTGAAGTTAACAAGACACGTACGCGGATCCTTGCGCGGGACCCTCACAACGCTCTTTCATCAATGCAGCGAACAAGCGCCACCGGAAACCCTCCGAAGTTAACGGGACTTGCACGCAAAATTTTGCTAGCGACCCCCACTGTCTCATCAGTGCAGCGAACAAACGCCAGCGGACACACTCCTGCTCATCCGTAGCTTGCAGGTAAGAGGACTATTATGCAAATCCTGATTCGGGACCCTCAACGCTCTCTCATCAGTACAACAAACAAAAACGATGAATGCAGTGAACAAGCGCGACTGGAGACCCTCCCGCTCACCGGTAACTTCAAGTAAGTTAACAGGACTAATACGCAAAAGCTTGCCGGGACCCTCACACTCACTCGTACCTTGAATATAACAGGATTAGTACGCAAATCCTTGCGCGGGACCCTCACAATGCTCTTTCATCAATGCAGCGAACAAGCGCCACCGGAAACCCTCCGAATCCCTCCGACTTACCAGTAACTTGAAGTTAACGGGACTTGTACGCAAAACCTTGCTAGCGACCCCCACTGTCTCATCTGTGTACGAACAAACGCCAGCGGACACACTCCTGCTCATCCGTAGCTTGCAGGTAACAGGACTATTATGCAAATCCTTGTTCCGGACCCTCAACGCTCTCTCATCAATACAACAAACAAAAGCGAGCGCAGACCCTCCCGATCACCCGTGACATGAGGCTAACATGACTAAAAGGCAAAGTTTTGCTCGGGAACTGTCTCATCAATGCAGTGAACAAGCGCGACCGGAGACCCTCCCGCTCACCGGTCACTTCAAGTTGGGGAACAGGACTAGTACACAAAAGCTTGCCCGGGACCCTCACGACGCGTTTTCATCAATGTAGCAAACAAACGCGAGCGAAGAACCCCCCACTCACCCAAAACATGGGGACTAATGCGGAAAGCCTTGCTCGGGAGCTCTGTCATCAATGCAGCGAACAAACGCAAGCGGAAACCCTCCCGCTCAGTTGTACCTTGAAATTAACAAGACACGTACGCGAATCCTTGCGCGGGACCCTCACAACGTTCTTTCATCAATGCAGCGAACAAGCGCCACCGGAAACCCTCCGAATCCCTCCGACTTACCAGTAACTTGAAGTTAACGGGACTTGTACGCAAAACCTTGCTCGCGACCTCCACTCTCTCATCTGTGCAACGAACAAACGCGAGTGGAGACACTCCTGCTCATCCGCAGCTTGCAGTTCACAGGACTATTACGCAAAGCCCTGCTTGGGACTCTCACAACGGTCTCTCATCAATGCAGTGAACAAAGGGGACCGGAGTCACTTTGACCCGTAGCTGGAAATTAAAAGGACTCTGTTGAAATACTTAATGGCATATTCTCGGAAATCGTGGGACCTATATGGGGGCCTGCCAAATTTGGTGCAAAGAATAACCTCGACAGCTAAAAAACACATAGGCCTAGAATTTTCAACGCAACCTACTTTGATGACCTTTGCAAATGAGGCCGCTGCCTGATCTTCGCTTTTTCCTTGGCAATTGGTCTACTACGGGGTCTCAGAATTTCTGGATTCTGCTGTTTTCTCATGTAGTGAAACGGCTAACTCTTACCAATCTTTGGTGGTGAAGGTCGCTGCAGTTATCTGAAGGAACTTCTATGAAAATTTGAAGATGGTTGAAACCACATGCTTTGCAAGTGTGCCATGAACCGGAAGTCTGCCAACTCACTACCCTCAAGACCTATACCCTGTCAACCCCAAAAATGTAAACGTATTTAACCGTGAACCGTACCTTTCGCTTTACACAGGCGGCCCTGGGCTTCCTGCTACAGGTACTGTTGGGGAGCTCTCCTGCGAAGCTCAGCCGACAGGGACTATTGCAGGACTACTTGATGTGGAACATCCATTGGTACACAACGCATGGATGTATGCATCATTACATGTAGATGAACAAGTAAAACATGTAGGTAGGTGCATCGAAACAAAAACCATGCATGGTTTTTCATCCGAAAGGCCTGGGAGCTGCGCCGTCGGCTGGCCGACTCAGAGCCTCAGCAGCGCGGCTTGAAAAGCCATGGCTGCCCCTTTTTGCCATTCAAGCCCATCTGAATTTCCAAGCCTGCAGGGTCCGGCGGGCGTGTGGTTGCCTGATCGCACGGGCGCGTAGGTCTGAAAAAGGGAAGGTGGAGGCGCACAACAACACAACAACTGCCTTTTCCTGCCTGGAACATCATGGCAGGCAGGAGCACTACGTTGGCGGTCACTGCTTTTGCCTCCTGGCATGAGAACGTGCGACAGTGGGCTAACTGAGGTCTCGGCACATCGTAGCCCACGAAAGCTGAAAGGTTCAGGCCTTGCCGAAGGTTTCATCGGCCTTGTTGTCTGCAAGATGCTGCGCTGCTTGGCTTTGACGTGCAAACACTTTGCGAGCCTTTTTACACTCACTTACGGCGGACCGAAAGTTGCGAGCTCAGCCTCGTGCACCAGAGGAAGCAAACACTGAGCCATGCTGCGCCCCAGCCAAAGCCAGCAATGAGTTGAAAGTCTCAATCGCCGAGAAATCGTCAGACTGAACATGATAGCCACTTGCCAACTCGAAGCACGGCACATTGTTGTAGCCAGCGTCTTGGTAAAGCCGCTGTCTCAAACAAATTCCAGTACGCGACGCCCACGTGGAGAGAACAATGTTGCCTTCTCGGTCCTTGAATTCCAAAAGTTTACGGCGTCGGACTGGCGCAGGTCCCATGGCTTTCAAGAGCCACTCCATGATGGCAGCATCGAGTTGTCCGACACAGCATTGTCGATGCTCGCGGAGCACGTCCATCATGCTGGAGATCTTGCAAGTTTGCAAGTCCAGCTCATCAGGCAGAGGTATGTCCAGTGCTGGCATTCGGTAAAAGAAGATGCCAGTTGAAGCCCTGAGGCCGACGACAATACGAAGAGTGCGCTTGGTGCTGAGCTGGACATACACAAGGTCGATGCTCTCACTGCCTGGCGGGACCACTGCTTGAACGCTGGCCGGATAAATCATAACTCCTTCGTGCAGGATCTTTACCAGCTGCAGCTCATGACCAGAGAAGATGTCCCGGACAGCGTGGGACCAAGGTCTTCCCACTTGCAGCTCAGCTTCCCTCAGCGTCTCGCCAGATATGGAGTATACAAAGCAACGGCGCAGCGAGCCCATTGATACGATTGATAATTTCGTGGATGTAAAATGTCAAGTGCTGATATGGTTTGGTGGATGTAAAATGTCAAGTGCTGATAGGTACAGTCCGCATCTCATCCATCTGCTACATGTGAATGTTTACACAAAATCACAGTGTTGCTGATCGTGAGACTGATTTCTGCCCAGACGGATTTTGAGCAAAGTCACTTGAGTTAACCAACAACGAAAATGGCAAAAGCAACAGGTATCGTCCAGCCAGCTATCAGTAAACCTCTGTCCATGCAATCATACGACCTACGTCCGGCAGCAAAGTCGGGGTGACCCAGGAGCCAAGTGAATTGACGAAAAAGCGGCACAAGTCCATCCATCCATGTTGCTGCACTTGATTCTGCAGGGCCCTTATGTGGTCCCCCACATAACCCTCTTGAAGGAGTTCAGGCTATATCGCAAATGACCCTAGCCCAGGTCTAAGCACTAAGCACCAAACAGGAAGTCCTTACATGCTCCATACAAGCCCAGCGGCTGCCAGGAGGAGGATCTTCATCAGCGCAGTGTCCATTTTATGCAGGGTAACCTGCCGCATCATTGGCGATGCGCTGCGTGTGTTCGTAGGTTTAGAATGAAAAAATGTTTCGACATGAAGCGTATAATATGTGGCATATCTTGCTCGTATACGAAGTACATCCGCTCAGACCAGAGTCCTGGGCAGTTTGGATCCTGGTACATGTGGGACCTGAAGGTCTTTCTGTGATCCCCCTCTGGAAGGGTCTCTTGACTCCCAGTCACGTAAGTGTCCTCATTTTCAAGACGAACAGGTGCTGTTCTGGTATCTGTCTTGGTTACTGATGTCGCCGATCTCAAGGAGTGTCAACAGTCGCGGGACTGGTCCAAATCATGATCCGCATGACTGTCATCATCTTCGATGCTCAGGATCTCGGAAAAGGTTGACAGTGACCAACGCAGAAAAGCTCGCTGGCCTTGTCCA